ATTTTTAGTAGAGACAGGGTTTCACTATATTGGCCAGGCTGGTCTTGATCTTTTGATCTCAAGTGATCTGCCCACGTCAGCCTTCCAAAGTGCTGGGATTACCCGTGTGAGCCACAGTGCCTGGCTACTAGTAGCGTCTTTGTAAGAATAGAAAATAGGCATACAGAAGACTTAGGGCAGAGAATGCTGGAACCCACCAAGTGAAGCCACAGAGGCAGGAGGGTAGGACACCATGTGATACTGGAGGTGAGGAATGCCGAGACTGTGGGCAAACACAGAAATGACACAGAGGTAAGACGGCTGCTCCCAAGAGCCTTCAGCAGCTACTGGCCCTGCCGACACATTGATTTCAGATTTCCAGCTTCCAGAACTCTAAGACAATACACTTCTGTTGTTTCAAGCCACCCAGTTTGTGGCACTGTTTTGGCAGCCTAAGAAACTCATTCAGCCCTCAACCAGTCCCCCAGATCGTATGATCCAACTGCCATCACCCACACACCTTGGCAGAGTTACCTTTTCCTTGTGGACCACCCAGGGGCTGGGTGCCACTTCCCATCTGGCCGTCCTACAACCTGCATCTAGACACGAGCCGGACCGTGGAATTTTGCACAGGGAGCTGAGCTGTTACACAGCTCATGAACCATCATGAAATTCACATGAGGGTGTTCATGAGGGTGTTTCACAGTTTTGGGCTTCAACAGCATCGCAAGCTTTTTCAAAACTGCAGTGTCCTGGTGGAGAAGAAACAAGCCTCAAATTTTGCTGGGAATCAAGACTGGAACACGTGATGTTCCAGTGTTCCAGTCTGCACAGTGGGACGTCAAGAGGCCACGAGGACTGGAAGCGCGCAACCAGCTTTTGGTGCATTAAATTCAGAGGGCTGGAAACATATATGAAGTGGTCTCCCAGATTTCCATAAATCTGCTGTGTCGCCTAGAGCCTTTGCAGAGCTGCTGTCTGGGAAAGGCTGGGAGGGCCCTGAGGTCCTCCGCGGCTGGTGTGAATGCTGCTGGCTGCTTTGAGTGTGTGGCTCTGGAGGGGAGTGCATCGTGGAGCCAAGGGCGGGCTCCCTTGGAATGAACCCTTATTGGCTCTCGTAGCACCCAATACTTTGTAGCTTCTCGTGGTTTGTAATCGCATATTTATGTGATTAATTTATTTTGTCTGGAAGGATCCTTGTCTTTGTTGCCAAAAATCCCCAGCAGGACAGGGATTAAGATGCTTTTGCTCCCAATTGTGTCTGCAGTGCAGAGCACAGTGCCCAGATTGCAATAGGCACTCAAATATTTACTAAACGAAGTGAGATGTATAAATATAGTTAATTTCAGGACGCTACATGCACCCTGCTAAGGATGGCTAAAATCCTTTGGAAATAAGCTCCCATTTTACCATAGCACTCCACTTCCCATATGGCCCAATTGACAAAAATTCCCCTCCTCTTATCTTTACATAGAGGACTTCAGCTACCAACTCATGAGAGTTCTTCCTTCCAACTTTATTTTTAAAGTAGTCAGCTTTCCCCTACCCTAAAAGGAATTTTCTTTTTTAATTCGCTTTATTCGAAAAAAGACAGACACTGGTTCCTGGGGTTTCTGCCCTTCTAGGGAAAAGTGCCATATTTAATAAAACTTTTTTATTAAAAAATTTTTTTTTTCTGGATAGGGTCTTGCTATGTTGCCCAGACTGGCCTTGAACTCCTGGGCTCAAGGGATCCTCCTGTTCCAGCGTCTTGAGTAGCTAAGACTAGAGGCATGAGCCACTGCATCCACCAATGGAAATTCTACATGGAATTCTGATCCAAAACAGGAAACCAGTTGAACACTGAGTCACCGTGAGTGCAGTGCTGGGAGCAAGGAGCACTCAGTGTTCACAGGCCTCTCGTTTGTGAGCTCCTAAAGCAGCTCCAATGAGCATCCAGAGGGTTCTTGGTTTGAAAATCCCACCCTGGGAATCTCAGATTGGGAGACTACAGGGTACCCACACTCAATGGTACCTGAGCCTTCAGACCTTGACTCAGATTCAAATGCTTTCACCACATCCAGACCGCAGAGGTGGCTGACCCAGATTCTAGATTTCAGTTCTCAAGAGAAATGTACCAATCCATCTCCTTGTCTGTTGGGTAAAAACATGACCTGCTTCACAAACCTGGGTGTCAGGACAAAACACAGTACAGCCATGTAAGAAAAATAACTTTGTTATTAAGCACATACAATCATATAAAAAGTACTTCATAGTATCATGCCCATAATTGTTTGAATGCTAGCTTCACTGTGATACGGACCTGTTACAAACAATGAACAACAGAGCTACTGCAGAACATGACTAGTCACTGTGAAAGAAAAACAGACCCATGGCACACATCAAATTCCTAAGGGGACTTGCTTTGATCCCCTGGGGGACAAAAGGGTCCTTTTCTATAATTTCCCTAAAGCAGTAACATTTGCTGAAGGAGGATGTGAAGTTCATGATTGTGCGCCTTAACAATTACAGTCATGCTGTGTTTGATTTTCCAAATGGAAAATTATTTTTTGATTTGTTATGAGATAGACATATTGACTGTGCCAGGAAAAAAATGTATCTACTTCCCTGAACTCATTATTGATGACTTTGGATGGCTCTATTCTACTCGTTGTTTGGCCTGGATTCATGCAATTACTTTCCTTTTCAGGAAGGTTATCTGAAAGATGTTAAGTCTGCTGAATGAGGCTGCTGTGGTTGTTTCTGAGAGACAGGCTGAGATGTGGGGAGAGACGGTGGGGAGTAACACCCAAAATCTGATGGGGGAGTTGCTGCCTGAGAACCCACAGTGATGCCTGCTCTGGATAAGCCTTCCCTTGCTTACCTGGGAAAAGGGCTCACCAGGCCCACAGCAATTATAAACCTTGGACAGATGACCAAAGCCGGGGTGCTCTTCACTGGTATTTCGTGGGGTAATACTCCCCTCTCTTTCCTTCCAAAACCAATGAACGTTTATTATTGACCTATGTTTGGCTATGGCACACCTGTCTGAGTTTATAGAGTAGAAATGACTTCGTTTGGTCAAGGAATCCTACGGCAGGTGTTGGACATTAACTCAGAAGGCGAGAAAAGGCACCATCCTCTCTGCAGCCCCACTCCCTTCTGGCACAGTATAGCTTACAATTTTTCCCTCTGGACCTGGGGAGGGGAAGGGGGATTTTTCTAAACTAAAATGCATGCCCTCCATGTACTATTTCCTTTTTTTTTTTTTTTTTAGAGTCTCGTTCTGTCACCAGGCTGGAGTGCAGTGGCATGATCTCGGCTCACTGCAACCTCTGCCCCCCTGGTCCAAGAGATTCCCCTGCCTCAGCCTCCTGAGTAGCTGGGACTACAGGAACATGGCACCATGCCCCGATTTTTTTCTTTTAGTTGAGACAGGGTCTCACCATATTGATCAGGATGGTCTTGATCTCCTGATCTCGTGATCTGCTCACCTCCCAAAGTGCTAGGATTACAGGCATGAGCCACGGTCCCCGGTCCCATGTACTATTTTCGATAGCATATTCTTATTCTCATTGCTTCCCAAGGACAGAGGCAACTTATGAGGTCCTAGTGATGAGGGTGCAAAAGCTGAAGTCAACATTTCTACCAGCAGGTTGAGGAGGTGTACAAAGATCTCTTTTTTCACTATAAACCATGAAATGACCTAGAGCTGTAGCACATTTTACCCCGGAAATGGCTTTCCCGTTAGGTTTTGAGCAGAAGTCCTATTTAGACAGTAAAGCTTTTTCTATCCACAGCTAAAAGATACATTCGAAATAATGCTGCCTTATAATGTCCTATCTTTGAAAAATATAATTTGGGCATAAAAAGTACATATCAGCTTGCAGTAGTAAAGGTTTTGAAAATCTGAGGATTAAAAATTATTTTCTAGATTAACTTGGTCCAGCAGATTGATGTTATAAAATACAGGGTACTATAAGTTTTGCTGGAGAATATTATCTGGAATAGTTTCATGAAATCCAGGTACAACTACTTTCCATTAATTCTCTTAATATATTATTCTAGCCTATGGCCAAACATGCAGTTTGGTTGCATTTTTTGAGCATTTGACAATAAAGATCATATTTCTAAATACAGTTCACTGACAAAGAAAAGGTATTAAAATTACTCATTGAAAAATAATCAGAGATGGACCTAGCCATCTCTCATACAGCCTGTGCATAGTTCTTTTTTTAAAAACATTCATTCACCCACACCCTTTAAATACCATGCTCCACAAGCAGGCAAACATTAAATATATTCCAGATGGGAATCAACAGCTGTTCAGTTCCTGTCTTTATAAACCCGTGGTTGGCGTGGCCCTCTGTCACGAGTGTTGAATTTTGCGGAGAGGAGGAGGAAGATGCTAGGAAAAGAGCACTAAGAATGTGTTTGCTTTCACTTTAAAAATGTGAGTGGACAGTCAGCAGGGATTCTGCATAAATAAGAAATAGAGGAGCAAAGTGCTCATCAAAGACTCAGCCACCTGCTGACTGACATGAGTCCTGCATTTCCAACATGGTAGGAAGAAGGGAAGGAAGACACTTGCCGCTAGAGATTTGCAAAGCCCCCTCCTATCAGTTTTTTTTTTTTTTTTTTCTGAGACAGAGTCTCGCTCTGGAGTGCAGTGGCACGATCTGGGCTCACTGCAACCTCCACCTCCTGGGCTTAAGCGATTCTCCTGCCTCAGCCTCCCTAGTAGCTGGGACTTCAGGTTCATGCTACTATGCCCGGCTAATTTTTTTGTATTTTTAGTAGAGATGGGTTTTCCCCATGTTAGCCAGATGGTCTCCATCTCCTGACCTCGTGATCTGCCCGCCTTGGCTTCCCAAAGTGCTGGGATTACAGGCGTGAGCCACCTCACCCAGCCTCCTATCATTCTTAAGGGAGAAGACAGAAAGGTGGCATTTGAACACAAGAGGGATTTTTCTTGAAGCAAGCTTTCATAGTAATGGAGCTAAATGACATGGCCTAAAAGGTGGAGGCCAAAAAGAAATGGGAAACGACATGGCAGGATGGGATAGTCCAACATGAGTGAATATGAGAATGATCATTTGTGAAGCTCAATGTAAGAGTGAAAGTCTCCCGCAAAGGTAGATAAAGAGCCACTCTGTGTGTCCAATGAGAACGTGGAATGTGAGTAACCTATGAGCTGCTCACTGGAAACAAGAGGTCCCTCGACAAGGTTACAAAGGAGCAGACCACCTTTCTGGTCTCTTGTTCCTGGTGCTTCTGGACCCACAGAAAACCTTGGCAGGCACATGCTTCCCTTTCGGATCCAGAGGTGCTCTGAGAAAGCACTCTAACTCACAGGGAGCTTGAGAAACAGAACCTTTTCTGAACTGCTTCTCACGTTGCAGGGGAAAAGAAACCAAAGAGAAGGCCTACAAGAACTGGAGCTTGGACTAAATTAAAGAAAATTAAGGAAAAATGGGCATAGGAAGGAAGTTTTTACAAGCAAGGAAAACCGCTTGTTTTTTCCTCTCCATCCAAGGTCACTTTCAACAGTGTATTATTCTCAACATGTTGGCAAGCTCGATTGGCTCCAGACAAGGACTTCTAATATCCAAGGAGAACAAATTTACCTACCACTGCTGATGGCGTTAGTGAGGTCAGCTGAAGCCAGCAACCACCTCGTAGCCTTGAACCCCACTGTACATTGCTTCAGTCTGGATCATGACACCGAATGGCACCTTCTGGGCGCCTGCTCAGCACCAGGAATTCTGCACCTCTAAGGTCAGCCACTTTATTGAACAAATTATCTGTGATTTATAGAGCAAGCTTCGTTCTTGATTAAACAGCTTAAAAATACTCTAGCAATCCAGGGCCCATTGTTTTAATGTGAATCAGCGCATTTCACTTTCTGTTTGTTGAAAAGAGGGTTTAATTTTCTTACCTAACTAGAACACTTACAGATAAGCATGGCATAAAACCTTAAGCACCATATTTGAAGTTTAGAAGGCACCAATCTATGTAACAGTAAATATTTCACTGTAATTCTTTTCTATCTTCTCTTAAACTCCACTCAATTCTCTCCTCTCTTTAATTTGGGAAACAAGGTCAGATAAGGGGATAAAATATTTAAAGTCTAGGACAAGAAAAAGAATTCTACACCAAAGTACAACTACAAATCTGTCCTCCCACCCCTTTTTAATTGAAGAGCCCTCATTTTGATACTAGAGGAGTTACGGTCTATTCTGAGCATATGCCTTAAAAGCAGCCTCATATTTTCTTAGAGCTCACTTTGCCATTTCCCTCTTTTTGATATTCTGCCAAATTTAACTTGAAAAATTTATGATTTAAAACACAGTGAGAGTACTGAAATCCACAGTTCCTGAAAAAGTAGGATGCAAAAGAAAAATTACAATGCAAACCACCCCAACACACTCTTAGCGAAAAGCACGTAAATCAGTCGTTCACTCCCTTGTGTCTGCAGGCCTAGGAGGGAACTCTGAATACAGTATTATATTTGGAAGAGGAGGAGGAGGAGGAGAAAGAAGTCAGGAGAAGAGAAGAGAAAAACGTATGTTTTCCAGGACTCCAGTGGTGAGTTTTCTCTTTAGAGGGTTTAACTGCAGGTGAAATAATCTTTCCCTTCCTTTGACATGATGGTGCTGGGGTGCGCTATGGATAGAAGTCTCTGGGTGCTCTCAAGTCTCTTGTCTCAATTCTTCTTGGGTGGTCATCTCCAGAGCCCAGGTCCATGGCTTCTGGGTAGCTGGGAAATTCATGAGGTAATGGGAACTCCTCTGTTGAAGAGTGAGTCCGGTGTGGGAACACCTTTTCCTGCAGCTCGGTGATGTCATTGCGGATGTCAGCCAGCATAAGTAGCAGGAAGTCGAAAGAACCAGGGGGTCCCTGTGTACATGGGAGGAATCAATGTAGAGACGGATAGCAACGGCCTTCGGGGCTCCATGACTTGCTAGTCCCCATGCTTGCTGGCAACTACTTTCTCAATAACTCTGTGCCCCAAATGGAATCAATGTGAGGACTGCTACAGGAGCCTGGGGGTCCTCCACATCGTCTTCTAATTCTCTCATTTCGCAGATGAGCTTTGGTGATGTATTCACCTTTCCTCCCTCCTAACTCTAGGCTTTATCAAATCCAGTAGAAGAAAGAATATAAAAATAAACTCTTCTAGTTTACTTTCCAAAGCAATCTGGAAGATGCTTATGAAGGCAGCGGAGCAGTGGTTAAGAGACTGGGGTTCTGTTGGGTTTGAGTTTCATCTCTGCCACTTATTAGCTGTGTGGTCTTAATTTCTTGTGGTTCAGCTTCCCCATCTGTAAAATGGGGATAATAATAGTCCCGACTTTATAGGGTTTTATAGGGTCCGTGAGAATTTAAGTAAGTAAATGCATGTAAAGGGCATTGAGCATAATATGTATTAAAAAATGTTATCTGGGCCAGGCGTGGTAGCTCACACCTGTAATCCCAGCACTTTGGGAGGCTGAGGCGGATGGATAACTTGAGACCGGGCAACATGGTGAAACCCTGGCTCTACAAAAAATATTAAAAAATTTAGCCAGGCATGGTGGCAGGCACCGTGTGGTCCCATCTACTTGGGAGGCTGAGGTGGGAGGATTGCCTGAGCCTGGGAGGTCGAGGCTGCAGTGAGCCAAGATTGCACCATTGCACTCCAGCCTGGGTGACATAATGAGACCCTGTCTCAAAAAAAATGCTGTTATTTTTTAAAAATGAAATTATTAAATGTTTAAAAGATGGCTGACTATAAGCACAAACTAAATGAAGTTGGGAGGATGCTGTAAAGACGTCAGCTCCCCATTGACTAGGAAGGTCCAAACAAAAGCTTCCTATTTCTAAGTATTGAGTATCATATATCATCATATAGTATTTATGAAGCCTTAATTTCATAGAGTCCTGTGTGGGGCATGGTAAAAAAGAAATGCATAAATACATGTGTTCGGGGTTGTCAGAAGCTTGTAGTAAAATCGTTATCACTTCTCACAACCGCTGCAGCAGCAGCAGCAGCTAGCCCTGTGGAAGCAGAGTTTATACTGTAAGGCACGAAGAGAGGCACAGTATTTTGATATCATTTGACCCTCACAATAACCACTTGAGGTATGGCAGATCAGAATCCACTAGCGCCACTACACAGGTGGGGAAATGAATGCCCAGAGACCCTCAGTGATGTGCCCATGGTCAGAAAGCTAGCAGGTAGAAGAGTTGAGATGGAACCCACAACTCCCACCTCTGTGGCCACAGCTGTTGGATTTCAGAAATGATACTGACTTCTTCAGAAGCAGTGAAGTGGTTTGAATTTTCTATGCTTTTGAATACTACTAATTCTCATTTTGAATCTCCCAGATACTATGCATGTATGCAGCTAATTTCTTATCAGGTCCCTAATAGCCCTGCATGTTTTTGACCTTTTTAGAGGAGACAGCCATCTGACCTACTAGAGTTGTAGCAGTGGCTAAATTCTCAATTATGCAATGATAATTTAAATCCATAGATTTCTTTCCTAGACTTCTCAAATGTTTTATGATCATGCTTGGAAAGAGACTCATTGCATAGCAGGATTTTGAGCTTTAAAAGAAGACATTTCAAATGAAGATTAGCCATGATGGCCGTGCGCCAAGGCTCATGCCTGTAATCCCAGCACTTTGGGAGGCCAAGGCAGGTGAATCATGAGCAGGAGCTTGAGACCAGCCTGGCCAAGATGGTGAAACCCCATCTCTAAAAACAAACACAACAAACAAACAAACAAACAAACAAACAAAAAATACAAAAATTAGCTGGGCATGGTGGCACATGCCTGTAATCCCAGCTACTCAGGAGGCTGAGGCAGGAGAATCACTTGAACCTGGGAGGCAGAGGTTGCAGTAAGCTGAGTTTGCCCCATTGCACCCCAGCCTGGTTGACAGAGTGAGACTCCCTCTCAAAAAAAAAAAAAAAAAAAAAAAAAAATTAGCCATGAAAAAAGAAAAAACAACAACAGAAAACAAATCTGAAAAATAAATCCAAACTAGCAGCTTAGGGTTTCTGTGACTCTCTTCCTAATCACAGAGTTCTCTTCAGGTGGGCTGAGTGGCATCAGGAAGGGGCGGGCTTTTGCTACTAGACCAGCCTATAGGCTCATCAGAGCTGCATCACTGAGAACATTCCCCTGGGGAAGCAGGACAGAGTGTGCTACTTACTGGAGACCCTCTGGGCCCAGGCGCTCCTCTCTCCCCCTAAAAACAGAAAGGCCAGGGTTAGCTTTCTAGAGCACGTGGCTGCCACAGCAATGGTCTCTATTTACGCACCATCATAACCACTTCCCTGCACAAAACCACAAATATTTTCTATAGAAACCATACGTAAAACTGAGCTACTCATGGGACCACTTATTTGAACAGGATGCTTGGGTTAAGTGTCTGTCAGTCTGATTTCCCTTGAGCCCATGTATTTTCAAATCTTCCTGGCAAGAGGAACGTTCCTATTTCCCAGCAGCATGTAGAGTAACAAACTTTCTGAAATAACTCACACTGACTTTTTTGTGAGGCAAAAAAGAGCAGGCAGCTCTCAAAGGGGAACTACCCGTTTGCAAAAGAATAGAGTACGTATCTCCTGTTCCTGACTTGAAAACCTCTCAGAAATGGAAACACACACAAAACTATCCTGTGAAGCAACACTGGTTAAAGAGAAAAACATATGTGACTGTCACAACACAGAGGCTTATTTAAAATGCATCAGGGTCATTTTTCCTACAAGTGGTGGTGGTGGTTGTTTTTGTCTGCTGGGATGATTCTGCAATTTAAGGAAGTGGCTACTCAGATTTTGTTACAAGCTTTGGGGAAAAAGTTGTATCTGGTATCTGTGTCTCAGTTTTGCTGAATGCAAAATGAGGATGGTAAACAGTGTCTGTTGAGCTTTCCCAGATGCTAGTGCAAGAGGTAGAAAATGAGAGACCCTCAGGCTGGGAGCAGTGGTTCATGCCTGTAATCCCAGCACTTTGGGAAGCCGAGATGGGCAGATACCTGAGCTCAGGAGTTTGAGGCCAGCCTGGGTAACATGGCAAAATCCTGTTTCTACTAAAAAATCCAAAAGTTATCCGGGAGTGATGGCATGTGCCTGTGTTCCCAGCTACTTGGGAGGCTGAGACAGGAGAACTCGGTTTGAGCTTGGGAGGCAGAGGTTGCAGTGAGCTGGGATTATGCCACTGCACTCCAACCTGGACGACAGAGCCAGACCCTGTCTCAAAAAAAAAAAAAAAAAAAAAAAAAAAAAAAAAAAAAAAAAATCCGAGGCCGGGCACGGTGGCTCAATCCCAGCAATCCTAGCACTTTGGGAGGCTGAGGTAGATTACCTGAGGTCAGGAGTTCCAGACCAGTCTGACCAACATGACGAAACCCTGTTTCTACTAAAATACAAAAATTAGCTGGGTGTGGTGGTGGGCACTTGTAATCCCAGCTCCTCAAGAGGCTGAGGCAGGGATAATTGCTTGAACCGGGGAGGGAGAGGTTGTAATGAGCCGAGATTACACCACTGTACTCCAGCCTGGGCAACGGAGCAAGACTCCATCTTAATAATAAATAAATATAAAAAAAAAAATTGAAAGGGGCAGATCTTTAGCTTGTGAGGACCACTCATAAGACTTACCTTAGCACCATCTCTTCCTGGTGCACCTGGTGGACCCTACAATACAAAAGGATCTAGCTTAACCACAGGCAAAAGCATGAGACAAAAACACTTTCCCCACACAGGAAGCAGATCTCTGATAAGATACTGACCACAGGGCCCCTTCGGCCTTGTTTAATGTGGGACAGATCAGGAGATGGTCCCATGGGTCCCATTGAGCCCCGAGGGCCGGGCTGCCCAGGAGGGCCTGGCATACCGGGGAAGCCTGGGCTTCCCTTTGGTCCCGGTGAACCTGTAATCAAAGAACACCTCATTAGCTCACAGAACACGAGAAGGATAAAGGGCCCTGGCTAACAAGAGTCCAGGGCCCCTGCAGCCATTTCTGTTTGCTCTCTCTCTGCCTTTGCCTTCTGACATCTGTATCAGGATGTCTCATGGGCATTTTGAGTTCGATGCGATGAAAAGTGGCTTCCCTATCTTCCTCACTTTTCACGCACCACCAGTCACCCATCCACTCAAGTAAAAAACTGGAGAGTCTTCCTCTGTGTTTCCCTATTTCCACAGCCTCCTGTTTGAATTAGTGGCCAGCTCCTGTGTGTTTCACCTCTTTCACATTTCACAGCTGTCTGCTCTCCTCTGTTTCCTGGATCACAGCAGAGTAGTGACTACCACAGCGGCGAAGTGGTTACCGTGGCTGGAGAGCAGTTAAGAGGACAGGTTTGAGCATCAGGGAGACTTGGGTTTGAATCTTTCTCAGGTTGCCTGAGCTATCTGAGCCTTAGTTTCTCATCTCATCTGGGCTAATAAAAATCCTCTTGGCCGGGCGCGGTGGCTCAAGCCTGTAATCCCAGCACTTTGGGAGGCCGAGGCGGGTGGATCACGAGGTCAAGAGATCGAGACCATCCTGGTCAACATGGTGAAACCCCGTCTCTACTAAAAATACAAAAAATTAGCTGGGCATGGTGGCACGTGCCTGTAATCCCAGCTACTCAGGAGGCTGAGGCAGGAGAATTGCCTGAATCCGGGAGGCGGAGGTTGCGGTGAGCCGAGATTGCGCCATTGCACTCCAGCCTGGGTAACAAGAGCGAAACTCGGTCTCAAAAAAAAAAAAAAAAATCCTCTTACAGAGTAGTTCTATTAAGTGAGATTCCAGATATACACACACCACTGAGTATAGTACTCCACACATATTAAGTACAAAAACAAATCTGTGAGGCCTTCCTTATATTTGCTTTCACTCTTGCCTCACTGCTAGTTTCTCTGCCCCACACCAGTCTTGTTCGCCCTTTGCCCATTTTTGACATTTCTATAGCGATGATATACCAAAAACCAGTCTTAATATGTAACCCACCTACTTTCGCCCTTTTGGTGCAAATGTCTCAAGGCACTGGGTGGGTCAGGAAACTCACTCTCTCTTGCAGGCCCCTGAGAAATACCCACGACTTCTTAGTGAGGGGTAGGAAATGTTCTTCCGGCCAAGATTTGCCACAGATACAAGGCATGCTGGGGGATGAGTCGGGGGTTCTGGGGAAGATGATCACACCCCAAGGCCCAGAAGCGTAGGGCATGCTTAGGATTCTAGCTGGAACAGGAGAAATGAAAATGTCCCCTTGCCCCACAGCTCTAGCATGGGGTAAGTCATAGCAGTCTACCACTGGGGGAAGGGTAAGTGTGTGGAGAGAACCCGTCTGTGGCACAGGCATGTGTGTAGGGGCTGCTGAAACCTAAAGAGTATAAACAGAGAGAAAAATCCACTGGCAACCTAGGCCTCCACTAAGCATAAGGCAATAGCATCCTACCACTGGAGGAATTATTTGAAGACTGTGGAACACAATGTAAATATAGTGATGATAAAGCCAAAACCCAGTTCAGTTATTCATTGGACTGACTCAGCTTCCCATGGCAGTGGCCTGACCAAAGAAGAGGGTACCTCTCTCCAGGAGTGATAACTACGTTCCTGTCTCTACTGTTTCTCTGCAAATGATGTCTGGCATTCAATCAAAATTTTCAGGCACATAGCAAAAAGGGCTGGGCATGGTGGCTCATGCCTGTAATCCTAGCACTTTGGGAGGCTGAGGTGGGTGCATCACCTGAGGTCAGGAGTTTGAGAGCAGCCTGGCCAACATGGTGAAACCCCATCTCTACTAAAAGTACAAAAATTAGCCAGGTGCAGTAGTGGGTGCCTGTAATCCCAGCTACTCAGGAGGCAGAAGTTGTAGTGAGCCGAGATCGCACTCCTGCAGCCTGAGTGACAGAGTGAAACTCCATCTTAAAAAAAAAAAAGGGAAAACCAAAAACCACATTGTCAAGTGATAGAACAATCAACAGAACAATTCTCAGAGGAGAACCAGATGTTGGAATGATGAGCTATGGGGCTTTAAAATAACAGTATGTGAAAGGTGCTGTTGGAAAAGATAAACAGCTTGTCTCAACAGATGAGCGTTCAAGGCACTGGGTGAGATGGAAATTAAAGGAAAAAAGTCAAACAGAAATAACAAATAGAGTATCATAGAGGAAAACAATATAGACTCACCAGCAGACTGCTCACAGCTAAGCAATGCATCAGTGAAAACGTAAGTCAATAGTTACTCAAAGTGAATCACAAAGAGGAAAATAAAATGAAGCATCCAAAAGAGGTGAGATAATATTGAACTGTCTAACATAAGTGTGATTGGAGTTCAGGGAGAAAAAGAAAACCCTATAGTAGCTACCCTCTTCATAAAGAATAAAGCTCAAACTCCTCAGCATAGTGTCCTTGTTCATTCTTGTCTTTCTGGCCAAGCGTTTTTTCCCCCACTATTGCCTCCTTCCTCATCACCCCATAGCCCCCATCCTCCCTGAATAAGCCATGCCACAGCACACGACCCAGCTCAGACTACTCTTCTCTCCTTTCCTGCCTCGTCTCCATCCCCACAGATCACCTATCTCCAAAAACGTCTTAACATCTCCCCCATCATACAAACAACTATCCTCAGACAGGCACAAAAACAGATGACTTGTTCTTAAACTCGGTAGCCTCAGCGCTGTGTGGATACAGGCCTCGGGAAGTAAGAATTAACTGCTTACTTCATTGCACATGCTGGAAGCATATCTATCATGTATGTTTATGTACAGTCACACACTGCACATGTGTTTTCTGTTTATGTATACCATTTTCTTCTGAGCATTCGTAACATTTACAAATTGGGGCCAGGTGCAGTGGCTCATGCCTGTAATCCCAGCACTTTTGAGAGGCCGAGGTGGGCAGATCACTTCAGGTCAGGAGTTTGTGACCAGCCTGGCCAACATGGTGAAACCTGTCTCTACTAAAAATACAAAAATTAGCTGGGCATGGTGGTGTGCGCCTGTAGTCCCAGCTGCTCGGGAGGCCAAGGCAGGAGAATCTCCTGAACCCGGGAGGCGAAGGTTGCAGTGAGCCCAGACTGTGCCACTGTACTCCAACCTGGGCAACAGAGTAAGACTCCATCTCAAAAATAAATAAATAAAAATGAATAAAAATCGGGAGATTTCATATAAAAATCTGGGTTTCTGGCTCTGGTTTGAAACAGGAAGCACGAAAACCCCAATTCCATCATCAGCACAACCAGCTGGAGCCATCAGTAGGGGCTGCCGCTGTACACGGGGTGAGTGCTCTCTAGTTTGATTCAGTGCCCCTGCTTCCAGCTGCTCCTGCCCAGCTCCATCTATGTACCTATGTGACCTGCCCATCTCTGTAGATGTTGAGGGGTTCTGTTTTAAAATTCTATTCAGAGGCCTGTAATGACATAGTACTGACACAAAATTAACTGAGTTAAACAAGAAGTCATCTGTTTTTGTGCCTGATAGTTGTTTGCCTGTGTACCAGAACCTGGTCATACCACCTTATCACGGAAGCTGATGGGGAAGAGACCTTTAGGCATCATCTATCTTGACCCACAGCACAGAGAGCTGTAAACAGCTGCTTTGTATTGGGTTGGGTTTGCGGTGTTTCCCCACTTGTGTATGGAACACAGCCTGTCTGCCCACAGCGGGGACTCCAGGGGACACCTTGCTGGCTGAAGGGCTGTGGCTGTGTAAAGTGTGGGACAGCACCTGGAAGCAGACATCAGCATGTTCACCTCTGCTTTAGGCCTTGAACATCAGCTAGGGGGATGAGGGAAGAAGGAGTGGGAGCCTGGAGAGCATTTTTGCAAACTTATAAAAAATACACAACACACAATTTTCCATTTTTTTTTTTTTTTTTTTTGAGACGGAGTGCAACTCAGCTCACTACAACCTCTGTCTCCCAGGTTCAAGCAATTCTCCTGCCTCAGCCTCCCAAGCAGCTGGGATTATAGGCACCCACCACCACCCCTGGCTAATTTTTTATATTTTTAGTAGAGACGGGGTTTCATTGTGTTGGCCAGGCTGACCTCAAGTTATCTGGCTGCCTCAGCCTCCCAAAGTGCTGGGATTACAGGCACGAGTGGCCATGCCCAGCCCATCTTAACTATTTTTAAATGTAGTATTTAGTCTTGTTAAGTACATTCTCATCGTTGTGTAACAGATCTCCGTAACTTTCTCATCCTGTAAAACTGAAACTCTAGGCCATTGAATAACTCCCCATTTTCCACTCCACTTAGCCTTTGATAACCACTGTTCTACTTTGTTTCTATGAGTTTGATTATTTGAGATACCTTATATAAGTGTAATTATAAAGTGTCTATCATTTTTGACTAGCTTATTTCACTTAGCCTAATATCCTTAAGATTCATCTATGTTGTGGCCTGTGTCAAAATTTCCATCTTTTTAGAGGCTGAATAATATTCCATTGTATGTATATGTCACGTTTCGTTTTTCCATTCTTATCCATTGATAGACACTTAGGTGACTTCAACCTCTTGGCTATTGTGAAAAGTGCTGCTGTGAAGATAGGTGTGCAAATATCTCTTCGAGATCCTGCTTTTAGTTCTTTGGGGTATATATCCAGGAGTGGGATTCCTGGATCAAATATACATATATACATACATACATGTGTGTGTGTGTGTGTATATGTGTGTGTGTGTGTATATATATGTTGTTGTTGTTTTTTTTTAGATAGGGCCTCTCTGTTGTCTAGGCTCAGAACTCCGGAGCCCACGTGATCCTCCTGCTTAAGCTTCCTGATATGTTTAATTTTTTGATGAATCTCCATATTCTTTTCCATAGTGACTGAATCATTTTATATTCACACCAACAGCGCACAAGATTCCACTTTTTTCACATCCCTGTCAATACTTATTTTCTCTCATTTTTCTTTTTGAGATGGGGTCTTGCCCTGTCACTCAAGCAGGAATGCAGTACTGTGTTCATGGTTCACTGTGGGCTTGACCTCCTGGGCTCCAGCGATCCTCCCACCTCAGCCTGCTGAGTAGCTGGGTCTACAGCCTGGCTAGTTTTTTTTTTTTTTTAAGTGCAGACAGGGTCTCCCTATGTTTCCCTAGCTTACATATTTTTTTAAGTAGTGGCCATCCTACTGGGTGTGGGATGGTATCTCACTGTAGTTTTGGTTTGCAATGCTCTAATGACCAGTGATGTTGAGTGCCTTTTAATATGGTTGTTGGCCATTTGTTTTTTTTTTTTTGGAGAAATGTCTATTCAAGCCCTTTTCCCATCTTTTTAATCAGGTGCTTTTTTTGTTGAATTATAGAAGTTCTTATCTATCCTAGATATTAACCCCTTATCAGATACATAACTTACAATTATTTTCTTCCATTCTGTAGGTTGTTTTTGGTCTGTTGATTGTTTGCTTTGAGACATAGAAATTTAAGTTTGATGTAGTCCATTTATCTACTTCTGCTTTTGCTGCCTATGCTTTTGCGGCCATATCCAAGAAATCACCACCAAATCCAATTTCATAAAGCTTTCCTGTTTTCTAGGATTTTCATAGTTTTAAGGTCTTACATTTCACCCTTTAATCCATTTTGAGTTAACTTTTGTATACGTTGTAAGATAAGGGTCCATCCTCATTCTTCTGTATGCAGAAGGACATTGGGTTTTAATACACTTTAGATCATCAGCTCTGTGAGTATGGATTGTATCGTATTTATTAGTATATCCTCAGACAGTCCTGGATACAGAGTAAGCTGCTTAGTAAATGTTTCTCATTAAAATGATTGCATTGAAGAGACTGAGAAGATTGCTATGCCATACTTTTCTCATAATTGTTCTTTTAAATGCACACAGTAATTACTTTTTGATCACACCTAACCCCTAGTACTGACAGAGCAGTGACAGGATGGAATGACTTTCAGACTCCAGAAAAATAAAACAAAGAAACACAGACTTTAGACTCTTCATCTTTAGATGAGTCTTTTTTAGTTCACAGGATAATTAAGCCAAAGTTAACAGCGGTTAATGTTCCATCCAAACGCACCCCTACTCTTAATACTGGCTCCAGGTGTATCTACAAAGTTTGGGATGGGTGTCAGATCCCTCCTTTAACTAAATATTTTATTTCCAGTAGCACAAAAAGAGGCCAGAGATAATATCTCACCTACAGTTACACAATCAGTACACTACAGAAATCACAGTATGTTGAGTGCCTTTGAAATGTGGGACTTTGATGTACAAATGGCAGCACCTGAAGTATGGCAGCAGAGGGCAGAAAGCAGCTGTCACCCCCTTACCACCAAAGTCAGACAGATGCCAACCCAGCCTAGTTTCCTGCATCGGTGCTCCAGTCTGATTTACCACAGGCCTCGGAACTGGATTTTTATTTAATGGTGAGAGAAAGCCTATTAGCTTTCTAGCTTCCCTAGTAAGTCTCAATGGTGGGTACCACAAACACTCAAAGTTAAGAGAGAAGGAAATAGGATTGGAATGTTCCCATTCAAAGGACAGGTCTCTTGCCAAAGCTTATTCATCCTCAATCACTCTCTGCTCCATCAAGGACCCTGGACAGCTCAAACCCTGTTATAAGCCAAATGGCAGCATTGGAGAAGAAAGCTTGCAAGGCATTTATTAAACAAGACAGCCAATGGCTCCCTGCTCCTACAGTGGCTTTTGTTCCAGTGATCTATAGACTGGCCTGGAGTTGACTTCCTCTAGGGAGGCAAAGCAAGAGCATTCTCTTAGAGGAGGGTGTAGAGCACTTTGCTGGGAAGGGGTTTGTAAGGAGAGACTCCAATCTGTTTAGAAGCAGCCGGAGGGTGCCTGTGTGAAGCGTTTGCTGCAAAAAACTCTACCATAACCCAGAGTACCTCAGGCCAAGGGAATGAACGAGGATAAAACAAATCCTGAACCGTCTTATTCTCTGGATGGACTGAGACCCAGGCTTCTGTTTGAGGAGTTTAAGACATAGTGGAGAGGAAAAACATAAATCCCCTGTGAAGAACTCTGAGCTTTTGTTCCGGCTGACTTTCCAAATGAAAATCCACCTGTGTCCTTCCTGCTTGGGCAAATTCTACCAGCCTTCCACGTCCAGATCAAATCTAAATGCCACTGCCCACTGCAGGCTACAGTGCCCTCTCCCTTGAAGCTCCCACAGCTGGAAGCATCTGTGCACTCACCCGGAGGGCATGTGGATACTGTTCTATTCTATTTGCATTTGCTCTATGTGTATGGTCTTCCCAATTAGGATGTCAAGAGGTCATTCATAACAGCTAGCACACTGCTAAGCAATGATAGCCGGGGAGTAGGCACTCACAGGTTTAGAATCATTTGCTAACACTAATGTCATTTCCCTTACCAGTGTGGAGAAAAAAAAATCTACTGCTCTATCTATGGAGGGACTCAAAATATAAAATAACTTGGAACTATTTTTTTTAAGTTCTCATTGTGTATTTCCTGATGAAATGATAGGATGTTCGGGATTTTGGTCCAATTAATAAGGGTGAATCTTTAGAAACAGTATGCTGAATGAAAGAAGCCAAAAATATATATTCATAAGAAGAATATATATAAAGATTCTAGTGATATGGAGTTCTAGAACAGGTGGAATTACAGTGAAAGGAAGCAGGCCAGTGTCTGCCTAGACTGGGGGTTGTAGAAGTAAACACGTGCACATGGACACAAGGGAAATTTCTGGGGTGATGGAAATGTTCTATACAGGCTGGGTGCAGTGGCTCACAGCGCTGCAAAGTAATTCTAGCACTTTGGGAGGCCGAGGTGGGAGGATCGCGAGGTCAAGAGATCAAGACCATCCTAGCTACCCTGGTGAAATTCTGCCTCTGCCAAAAATACAAAAAATTAGCTGGGCGCAGTGGCACATGCCTGTAGTCCCAGCTACTCAGAAGACTGAGGCAGGAGAATCACCTGAAACCAGGAGGCAGAGGTTGCTGTGAGTGGAGATCGCGCCACTGCACTTCAGCCTGGGTGACAGAGTGAGACTCTGTCTCAAAAAAACAAAAAACCAATGATCTATATCTTGAAATCTAGAATGAGAGTTATATGGGTAAGTCAAACCGTAATTGAAATGATTACATTATATATCATTTGTATGTCAATACAGTTGACTTATAAAAACATACAGCTAGGTATCAAGATAAATACAGGTATAAATATGCTAACAAATAAGGGAGGGTGGAAGGAAGATTGGGGAGTGGTAGGAAGGGGCTGGCTCTGAGTTGTTAGAACTGGGTGATGTGCCTCGAGCCGGGCGGGCGGTGGGAAGGGTGGCCCATAATACTGTTCTATTTCTGTGTAAGTTAAAATGTTTCCAGAATAAAGTTTAAGGTAGTTTTCATTTTTTTTTTTTAACTTAAAATGATCTTTAGGAATCTTATCCAATCCCAGAACAATGAGTTTTTTCTCCCAAGTTGCTATTCGCTGTGAGGATTTCTCAGGCTTGAGGGCCTATTTCCCAAGGCCCTCTCATTGCATGGCTGTGTGGCAGCCCCACGGACACTTGCCTGTTTCTCCTCAATGGAAGCTGGAGAATACTACCCAGCTCCCACCCACTGTGAGCTTTTGGCAGGCTTTTTCTGATGGTGATCACCCTCCTATGCCCTCTTCCAAACTCACCGGGAGGGCCCTGGCCCCCAGGCAGGCCGGGAGGTCCTGGAAGGTAGGCGTTTGAGGCCAGCACCTTGTCACCAGTAATATACTTGCCCAAGTCAGCAGCATTGTTGGGGAGCAGGGCAATCTGGAAGGAGAAGAGGAAGCCTTGGTCAGGAAGCAATGGCAGAGGCCAGGCTCACATTTGTCTTGGTGGTAGAAGCTGCAAAGCCTTTCCATGAGACATATATATATACTTTTTACTAGAGTTAGTTAGAACTTAGAGAAACTATAAAGAGCCCTTTTCTAAACCTAGAGGACTTCTAAGGTAAACAACTTGCATGCGATTACTCAGCTAGTTAGTGGGTGAGCTTGGATAAGCTCCAGAAGGCCTAGATGTCACTAGAACTCATTATTACCATAATTAATAAGGCCTACTTATTTCATACTCTCAATTTATTACCTATTTTATATCTCAAGCATTTACTGAACACCTACTATGTGCAGGTCCTGTGCTCAGTTCTGTGGCTACAGTGGTGATCAAGACACGGTCCCTGCCCTAAAAGAACTCTCAGCCTTGGGAGCCAGGACCGAGAACATGGCTGACAGTTCCCCTGAGCACTAAGTGCTGACCTTCAGGACAACTGGCCAGTAGTGACTGTGGTGGTTGTAAAATGTTTCCACAAATTCTTTGACACTTTTCCCTTCAAGGGTAGAAGATGATTTCCCATCCCGTGAGAAGCGTGGGCGGGACTTGATGACTTGCTTTTCATGAATAGAATATGACAGAAGCATGGGGCTTCTGAGATTAGGATAAAATGCACCAAGGCTTCCCCCTTGCTCTCTTTCATCACTCATTCATTTTAGGGGAAGCCAGAGGGCAGCAATGAATGAATGATTGCATTTTTCGATATCAGGTAAACTGTATTCACTTCTGAAGCCTTTAGTGAAAGCTGAATGCTGCAAACCTTCATTTCCACATTGGCTAAAAGAAACATCACCACCCACTTGTTCAGCTTGAGGATTAAGGGAGAAAATATATGTTGGGTGCCCAGCACAGGCCCTGGAACATACTAAGTGCTTGATAAATGGTTGTTCTGGTCTCTTCCCTCCAAGAAGCTAATTCAAGGGATGCAGAGCCAAGTGAAGAAGGGCACGTTCCTAAAGGCGAAAGCCACGCCCAGAGGACCCTGTATCGTGGAGTTCTGTGGAAAGCAGACATCTCTGCCATTTTCTGAGGCACACTGCATTTGTTCCCCCATCCTCCTAGATGAGGCCCTGCCCAGGGACCCGCTGGCTGGAGGAAAAGGCAGTCTCTAAGAAGGCACACTGGCAGATCCCATCCTGACCCTCTGGAGTGTTCCGAGGCTCTAAAACTCATCTTTGGATCTGAGCTTACAAGAGAGATACCTACTATCTGCGCATGATCAGAGGTGGCCAACTTGTGAATATTTCACAGCTGTGAAAACGTTGTGTCCTATGGGGTTTGACATCGCACAGGGCACTAAATTAACAGTTATGCAAGCTCCTTTCCCAAAGGCTTATTTAACTCTGAATTAAAACTTACAGTTGAATGCTGATTTGAACAAAGATGGTTCTCTTTACTTCCCGCCTTCATGAAAAGAAGCACTTATCACCTCTCATTTCTTTTTCAGGAATCACCTCTTTCCCCACGGGCCTAAAGACTTCCTCTCACGTTCTAATGCAGCAGAGTGAGGCGCATTCAATGATGCTACAAAAACAACCCCAGGGACTTCAGGGCCTGACTATGTCTTAACTAGGAGAAGAACTCTGGCAGGGATTAGGACAACTGGCTTGATAGTGACATAGCAGGGCAATGGAGTAAAAGACGAGCATGGGATCTTGCATCCTCCAAGCACAGGCCCGAAGGGATCATAAGGGAGGCTACAAAGTACATCTACTCAACTACAGCCGAGATCCCAGGCTGTGCATGACTAAGGTAGACTTGAGAGAGTTTTGCTGCCCAAGATGATCCTATCCACCTTCGGAAGGGCCTCAGTCTCCAGCAGTGGTGTCTCCTGAGCTTGGAGGATTGCATTCAGCATGTCCCTTACGGAATATGGTTCTGATGAAGATCTCTGGTGAAGATCCCATTCGCCTGCTGTGTAGCTGCTGGGTTTGGGGCTCTCTCAATAAAGCTTTAAGATGAGTTTTTTGTTTTTGTTTTTGTTTTTTGAGATGAAATCTTGTTCTGTGACCCAGGCTGGAGTGCAGTGGCACAATCTCTGCTCACTGTAACCTCCACCTCCCAAGTTCATGTGATTCTCCTGCCTCAGCCTCCTGAGTAGCTGGGACTACAGGCATGCACCACCATGTCCCGGCTACTTTTCTATATTTTTGGTAGAGACAGGGTTTTGCCACATTGGCCAGGCTGGTCTTGAACTCCTGGCCTCAGGTGATCCGCCCACCTCAGCCTCCCAAAGTGCTGGGATTACAGGTGTGAGCCACTGCATCCAGCCTAAGAACTGATGATCTTTTTTAGTTACAGGGACAGATGTTCTTACCAACAGAAGAAATCCAATGTTAAGGAAGCACGACTATCATCGTAATATGTGGTTTGCATTTTGGCATGTAGCCTTTACCTGATACACTTTGTGGAAAATAAATTCTTCTGGCTCCTTTGTAAGGTGACTGCCCTATTCCTGTATCCCATTTACCCCTTAACAAAGCACTGGAGATTCTTCTACAAGGTAAAACCATGAGAAAGTCCAAGAGGCTTTTGGCTGTATCCTCACTGCACAGCATGAAGAACGAATAGAGCCATGAGGCTGATGGGGGTTGATCCTGCTCCCCCAGCTCAGTCTCCCTCACATACCTGCAGAGCAGGGGGCAGGCTCTCCTGCAGTCAAGAGTCCTATTCCCACTTCAGCTTCCCAAGTGTTCTATTTGAATCTGGGATGATCCCTAGTCTGGAACCTCCTCAAGAGGGTGCTTTTTCCCATTTGGGGTGCCAAGTGAAATCAAACGTACTGAAATTTACCCAGTTTAGAGTGCAAGGATGTTCAAGGGACAGGAAACTAAAAGACGCTCTGATACTGTCTTCCAAAGGGTTCCCACAGGATCCTTCAGACTTCTGAGCACACACTCCTAGAAAGCCTTGGAGCCCTTCAGCTAGTTCTAAAGTCCCAGGGAAAGGACAGCCTTGCAGGCCCAGGAGCTAAGACATTCCTGACCATCACTGCCTTCCAGACATAGGATTGTCCTCCACACTCTGAGAAGACCTAGCGCTCCGTGAAAGACAGAAGGAATGCTGCCCTGCTAGGGATGCCGCTGGTTCAATTCCTGTGATGGTTAATACTGAGTGTCAACTTGATTGAAGGATGCAAGGTATTGTTCCTGGGTGTGTCTGTGAGGGTGCTGCCAAAGGAGATTACCATTGAGTCGGTGGACTGGGAGAGGCAGACCTACCCTCAGTCTGGGTGGGCACCAGCTAATCAGCTGCCAGCACAGTTACAGGAAAGCAGACAGGAGAGATGGAAGAGCAGGCCTGCTGAGCCTTCCTCTTTCCCCCATGCTGGATGCTTCCTGCCCTTGAACATCAGACTCTACATTCTTCAGCTTTTGGACTCTTGGACTTAAACCAGTGGTTTGCCAGGAGCTCTCAGGCCTTTAGCCACAGACTGAAGATTGCGCCGCTGGCTTCCCTACTTTGGAGGTTCTGGGATTCAGACTGATCCACCACTGGCTTCCTTGCTTCTCAACTTGCTGACGACCTGTTGTGGGACTTTACCTTGTGACTGTGAGTCAATTCTCCGTAATAAATTCCCTTTCATACGTACATCTATCCTATTAGTTCTGTCCCTCTAGAGATCCCTGACTAATACAATTCCCCTGTGATAGTTACTCAGAATTCAGTAGGGATGACTGTAAGAATCAAAATCTCATACAGTCTCAAAGTAGCTTTGCACAATTTCAAGACAGGGCTCATGGTTCAGAGTCACCATTGGGACATAACCGTGTTCCTGAGACACATTTAAAATGACGCTGACATCCCCACGTCATAGCAATAGATCACCTAACCTTCATGTAAGTGCCTGTGGCCCTGGGGAGGACAAGGAGTGAACCAGTGAGTGAGTGAAATGTATCAGTAAATCTACTGCAGCCACGGGCAGCGGGTCAACACTGGCAGCTAAGCCTCATCCGATTTTATCATTGGCTTCCAACTGAGAAACTGAAATATGGATCTCACCCCCAGGCCTTGGCATGAGGCAGAGGTACCTTTATATCTCAGCCCTGCCACTTTCTACCTGCGGGATCTTGAGTAAGTGACACAACCTGGATTTCCTCATCTACAAAACGGGGATGGTAACGGCCACCTGAAAGCACTGCTGGAGGGTTAAAATGATGTTGTCTTTAACATGCCTGATCTAGCTGACCCAGTGTCCGGCCACTGTCAAAGACCCAGCAGAAACGCTGCTTGGCAAGCTGGGTGCTATGGCTCACACCTGCAATCCCAGCACTTTGGAAGGACAAGGGGGGCGGATGACTTGAGGTCAGGAGTTGGAGACCAGCCTTGCCAACATCGTGGAACCCTGTCTCTGCTAAAAACACAAAAACTAGCTGGGCGTGGTGGTGCACACCTGTCGTCCCAGCTACTCTGGAGAGTCGCTTGAACCCAGGACGCTGAGGTTGCAGTGAGCCAAGATTGCACCACCGCACTCCAGCCTGGGCGACAGAGTGAGACTCTGTCAAAAAAAAAAAAAAGAAAAGAAAAAAGAATTGCTGTCTGGAGCTGCTCCTGGCTTTGTTCCTAAGTAGCTGTGTGACATTGTTAAGTCCCTTCATCCTTCCTTTTCAAGACTACAAAATAATTGTTTTCGATACAAGATCAAGTCTTCATATTTAAAATTGTGTAAACAGGACCTCAGGATGAGACCTGCACGTGGACGGGCTCCAGAGATGTTTCCCTGTGCCTGCAGTTCTCTTCGCTTGGTTTGGTGCCTGGTAAAAGTAACAAGGAAAGGTGGCAAATGCTGACCTCAATGTCCCAGCTGACCTCCTGCTGGGTGGCTGCATCCTGGCTCCCTTCGGCCCCTGTGCGGCAGCAGAGTGAAGGCACTGGCCCTTAGAGGTGGCTGCCCAGAATCTCTGGCCTAAACACAGCTGAGGATGGGCTGAGGGATGCCAGGAGTTTGGGAGGAAGGTTGTAGTAATGTAAACAGAGTCTGCGTTTCTCCTGGATTCCAGTCAATGGAATTATGCATATCATTTATCTTGTGCTAACCTTTATAAGAGAGCTTCTGCCTCAAAGAGCTGTTAGGATGCATCGGTGAGATGTCTCTTGTAAAGCACTTTGTAGAGGGCTAATAAATAACATTTCTACTTGCTAAACATTTGTAGAGCTTTTTCTAGATGGATGGCACTGTTCTTAGTCCTTTATAAATAGTAACATTTGTTATCATAAAATCCCTAGGCAGGTTTTATTGTGTCATTTTTTAAAAGTAGAACTGAGGTAGCGAGAGGTTAAATACTTACTCAGAGTCACAGAGCCAGCAAACGGTGGGGCTAGAATGTAAACTAAGCCCATCTGCTTCCAGAATCTGTGCTCCTAACCACTAAACCAGCAATGACCTAAAGTCACTTAAAAATTTTTTTTGGAGACAGAGTCTCGCTCTGTCACCCAGGCTGGAGTGCAGTGGTACAATCTCAGCTCATTGTAACCTCTGCCTCCTGGGTTCAAGCGATTCTCCTGCCTCAGCCTCCCAAAGATCTGGGATTACAGGCACCCACCATGACTCCCAACTAATTTTCATATTTTTAAAATAGAGATGAGGTTTCACCATGTTGGCCAGGCTGGTCTCAAACTCCTGACCTCAAGTGATCCGCCTGCCTTGGCCTCCCAAAGTGCTGGCATCACAGGCATGAGCCACTGCGCCTGGCCTGCAGTCACTTTAATATGGATTGGTCTTCCCAATAATCCTGGGAAGACCCATTTTATAGAGTAGCAGAGGAAATCACACATTACTGAGAAGCCACATACCTGCCTGAGGCAGAGGCGGTGCTCGAGTGAGCTAGTGCAGCCATCGGTGGCAAATATGCTCACTTGAAACCTTAGGGGCCTCTAAATTCTCAAGCCTGACTGCTGGCCCGGCTCCATTCGGCCATCGTTTGCTGATTTCACACCACTGGCTTGGTTTCCCCATAAAACCTAAGTTTATTTCGGGCAGCATCCTCTCCGTAGCGGTTTGTATTTCCCCATTTCCCAGCCCACAGCAGGTGCTCAACGGGCACTTCCCGAATGATTGTCCACACTTCCCACAACTGCTAAACCTGGGGAGAGTTGCTGGTTTAAGAGAAGAGAGAGAGAGATTCTCGACTCCCTACACAGCCACCCAGGGAGGCTGAGCACACCAGTCAGCCCGGTGCAGGCCTCTCTTTCTGGAGTCTCCCTTCCCAGAGGACTCTCTGCAGCAATTCCACTCTGAAATCCCACAGCCCCTGCTGCCAGAACACAAGCAACTTAAAACAATGGACAGGCGAGTTGGCACTGAGTTTTAAGTGCTCTCGTGGGACAGAGACCCATCCAAAAGTTAATTGACGGGCAGCTCATCGATCCCCACTCTCTCCCTTTCTCACCAAATCATTTCTTTTCCTCCCACACCGCAGAAGAAGTGGTAGAGGTGGAGGCGCTGAGGTCTATGCACCATTTAAAAACATGTTTTTATTGCAAAATAAAGAACCTGGAAACCTCACGAGACAAGTCACTTAGGAAATTATTATTAAGCAAGCACCCTTTAGGTGGAGCAAACCATCATGGCGCACGTTTACCCATGCAACGAACCCGCCCATCCTGCACATGGACCCCAGAACTTAAAAATACAAAAGCACCCTTTTAAAGAACCCCCAGATCAATCACCAGAACTTTGTCAGCCGCCCTAGACCCCTCCCTCCACAGGCTCCGCCCCAATCATCAGTCTCCACTCTTCCCCAGAAGTACCCGCTTTCCTTTTATAGTAATCACTTCCTATGTTTTAAAAAAATAATCTATCACCCAACTGTGCATACCCTAGATATTATGGTTTACTTTTGCTCATTTAAACAGTGATAGGTCTTTTAAGTTTCCTGTTGTCTGCAGACTACCAGAACCCAGGCCATTTGACCTGTAGCATTTCCCGCGGTTGGAATGTTGCTGACTGTACGTTCGTGGGACAGGGCAGCGTGTTTAAACACCATTTTACGCTGTGGGGTTGGCCATGGTCTAGGACCGCTGGCATCTCCTTCTTGGCTAATGTTTATCTGAGCAGATGTCCTACATTCTTCTGTGAACAAATGACATTAGTAGCAGCAAAATGATATTAAAAACCAACTGAAAATCCAAACGCTGGTACAAGAGTAGAAGTGAGAAGATCCAGGTTTCAGGTCTGCCCTCTCAGGCAGTTATTTCACCTCTCTGAGACCATCAGTATCTTTTTCACAGGGTCATGATGCTCATTCAATGTGATTCTGGATATAATGCTTTATAAGCTGTAGAATGCGAAACATTCTAATAGGAATCTTTAGAAATGAATTGCTCCTCATAACATTCCTTGAAAGTCTGCATTAGCTTGAGATTGCCCCAGTGCATTTGCAGAAAGATTTTGGTATAAGGTAGAAGAATTCTAGTCCAACTCAATTGTGTAAGAGTTACTGGAGTATTAAGATGACCTAGTGGATTTTTATGTAGCTCTCCAGCAGGGTCTTTGAGGGTGAAAAGTATTTCAATGCAAGTTTCTCCACTTCTTTTAATATTTTTATTTTCATGCATCACAAGAAAACATGGCAGGGAGGTTAAGGGAAAACCACACGTTGATTTAGCAACTGAATTTCTGAACAATTTGTGATATTTAGCCCCCTTGTTCGTAAAGATCATCCTGGCTGGAAATAAATTCCCTAAGGCATACAAATTGTTTCCAGGGAAGGAAAGTGAGGGTAGCTTTGTGCCTTAAGAGGTACACCTGAAGATACTGATCAACTGCCTGCCCCAAGCTCTTCCAGCTTATGAAATGCAAACTTACTTCTTCCCCCAACCCTTCTCTGGGTTTGTTCAATACCACTAACATCAACCCAAGCTCAACCTGAGGATAACTGTGTTGGATGTATTTATGTCTCTGTGTTTATAGTGACAGACACACAAGGTTTTCTGCCTAGTCTTCCTATTGGGATCATAAGCTATTTAGGGTTAAATCTGTATTTTATTCATAATTACCCATCAGATGTATACAAGTTTCTGTTAAGCTGATCACACTGTCAATGTTGTAAAAATAAAAGGCTTGCAAACCATTTCTCTCCTCAGCCTGTTGAGTTACTGAACTGGTAGCTGTGGTTTTCATTAGGGGCTGGCTGCATGTTTGCTGAATATGGGAAAGATACCATCTCACGCTTACTCTCAAGCCCTTCAGCATCACTGGATGCCAAAGTTCGACAGTGCAGATGCACCTCTCTGATGTGCTAAGAGCCTTGAGTGGAAACAGTTAAAGAAACAAACCAAGAAGATTATGTTTTATCAGTGTCAGGGTGATTTCTGAGTCACTGACAAACTAGCAAAATGACCGACCTTAGGCATAATAAATACTGTTTATCTGGGTTCAGGACAGTTGTTCAAGAAGTCAGATTGCCAGATCCATCCCAGGGCATACAGCAGAACAGTGTTACTAGAAACCAGATATTCCACTGGACATTCATACAGCCTTTTATAAACTGCATTGGTCCTCATCCGTGGTGACACGAAGTACCCACAGTGATGCTTTTCTAGATGCAGGGAGCTCAGAAAGGGCACAGGCTCTAGTTTTTAAAAGTGAGAAAGCAAGCTGCTGCAGAAATTCATCAGCTTGTGGCAGTTTATTGAGATGATATTCTCCATAAGTAATACAGAGATCTTAGATAAAACACACAGGGTCCCAGGACATGTCAGGAAATTCACTTTTCTTTTTGAGATGGAGTTTTGCTTTTGTTGCCTGGGCTGGAGTGCAATGGAGCTGTCTCAGCTCCCTGCAACCACTACCTTCCAGATTCAAGTGATTCTCCTGCCTCAGCCTCCTAAATAGCTGGGATTACAGGTGCCTGCCACCATGCCTGGCTATTTTTGTATTTTTTAGTAGAGATGGGGTTTCACAATATTAGCCAGGCTGGTCTTGAACTCCTGACCTCAGGTGATCCGTCTGTCTCAGCCTCCCAAAACGCTGGGATTAAGGGCATGAGTCACCACACTCAGCTGGAAATTTATGAGAAGTTGCAACAGTCACAGCTCACCCTGGCTATGGCTTTGCCACATGTCCCTTACTTAGCGTTGATTTTAGTAATTCCCTCTGCAATCCTTCACCATCATTGTGTCCTGTTGCCCCTTGGATAGCTCCGAGGGTGGGCAAAGCATCTCAAGTCCATCCAAACCTCACTGGCATCAACTGCGTGAATGCTCAATGTGGATAATGGTTTATCTTCTTATCATTTGTAAATATTCTTCCAGCTGGCTTTGGCCAAGCCCTTCTCCTGTCACGCGTTACCGTTCCCACACCGGCGGCACCTACCTTTTGCTTCAGCTGCAGCACAGTCTGCTTCATCTGGTAGAACTCCTTGCATGTGGCACAGCAAGTTCCGGCTTTCACAGCGTTCTCAGACTTCTCATGGCCTGTGAAAGGAGATGCGCTCAGTCCTGTCTGGTGGGCTGGATGCAAGCCAGACCCAGAGAGACAGCGTTGGGAAGGGCGGTCCCAGGGACAGAGCAGCTGACAGCAGGACATGCAAGGGCCAGCTGTGGACGATTTTACAGCTTTTGGATCCTGCCTGCATGACCCAGGGTCAGGGAATAGTGGACGACAGAGGGAGACGAGTCCTACGCGAAGCTGAGCTCAGCTGTTCCTGTTTAGACATGCCAGGAAGACTCCATTCTTCCTCTTTCATGTGTGAAAATGCAGACGTGGCCCTTTTATCAGTGCTTTTCCAGGAGGCAGGCTCTATAAATCTGACATGATTTATACTCCCCTTAAAGGGCCAATGTTCACACACTGTAAATATTCCCCAAGCTCAGGCACTGGGCCTCAAAGCTGCCTTTATCACCTCTCCTAATCCCGTTCTTCAAAGGGAACAGGGCAGTAGGCTGGAAGCTGACCTCACTGATGTTGTGAGGCCAGGATGGGAAATGCTCCAGGCCCTTTGCCACCCATCTGGGGCCAATCGGGATAACAACGGGCAGGCAGTCAGGCCCCTCTGCTGCGGAGGGTCCCAAAGCACTGCCGTGGAACCTTCGGTGCTCCACGAGCTTTTTGTAAAAACTTTTGCTAAAGGAAAACTGGGTGAAGAACGTGGTGATGTGGCCAAGAATACCGCCAGCTGTCTTCTTTCTGGCACTGGAGTGGGCTACTCCAAGCCTGCATGCCGTGGCGACCAGACACCTGGGTCACCTTGCCACTGAGGACTGTGCACGGACTGCCGAGGTCTGTGCCGAAGGTGGCAGTGGTGTGGGCCAAAAGTGCTAGGCTGAAGGTGTTTTGCGAGGGCAGGTAGGACAGTGTGACACCCAGGAAAGCATAAACTCTCCTCGCTTAGCAGCCCTTTGGCGTTGGGCCAGGTTTGTGGTACGTGTGACATAGTAACCACGACTACCCAGAACGCCTACCGGGGACAGTCGGGTAATGCGTGACCATCTCTTCTGCTTCCTGGCCCGTACACTTTGCTTAACTGCTCCTCTCTTCTGCAAAGCCCTCTGTTCCACCTCCACTTGTTGAATCCCAACAAGACCGAGATCTAATGTTCCATGAAACCTGCCCTCTCCACCTACAGAAATCTGGAAATCAGGCAGCATTTACTGTGTGTCCCTCCCACTCACAGGTTGGCCTAGGCTTCCCCGGAGGGCAGCTCTTAGGGAACATGCCAGCGTGTAAGCTGCCTAAGAACCAGGCTCACTTGTTGGTATGTCACATAATCGATGCTCAAAAAATGTTTGGAAATGGATTGTTACAGGTTGAATTATGTCCTGTTTGCCAATTCATGGGAAGTCCTGATTCTCAGTGCTTTAGAATGTGACTTCATTAGGAAACAAGATCACTGCAGATAAAATGAGTTAAGATGAAGTTATGCTGCAGTAGGGTGGGATCGTAGGCCAATATGACTGGTGTCCTTATACAAAGGGGAAACGTGCCCACAGGAGGAACGCTATGTGAGGATGAAAGCAGAAGCGAGAGGCAGTGGAAGCCGAGGAACACCGAAATTGCCTGCAGATGACCAGATGCTGCGGAAAGGCATGGAATGATTTTTCTGCACAGCCCTTAGAAGAAACCAACCCTGCTGATGCCTTGGACTTTGAACCTCAGAGCAGAGACACATTTCTGATTAAGCCACTTAATTTGTGGCATTTTGCTATAGGAACCCTAAGAAATAGACACATTAATGGATGGAGGGAGAGATGGGCATGAGGGCAGCCCGCATGCAGGCGAATCCTCCTTACATAGCCTGGCTGCCGAGTCCTGTCCCTGGTGACATGTGGTGACCAGAGCTTCTGCTCCTTGGGAGGTGAGCAGGCCCAGAGGCAATCGGGCAGCTGAGCTCTCTCACTCACACTACACATCTGCAGCACAGCAGCAGGCAGTTTCAGAGCTCACCTGCTGCACCGCCATCCCTGCACCGTGGGAGATCTGGGGCTGGCAGTACCTGAGCTAGGCACACATTTCTCATGCCAGCAGGTTGACACAAATGATGCCATGCTGTGCAGCAGAGTTGCCACAAGTGACAGTGTAATTATTGAATATACAGGGTCAACCTAGCTTTTCGGGCAGCTTTTGAAGACGTAATTGGAGAAAAACACCTGAATCTCTGCAAAAGGGGCAGTTTTTAAAAATCCACTTCACGTGTAAGCAATGTAACAGGGCCATTTTGTTAATGCCTGCTTTCTAGGTGAATTCCCAGAGCTTGCCCATCTGTACCCCCTTAATTGGCACACTGGACGGATGGTTTTGACTCACTGCAGCTGTGTGATAAAGAGCTGAGCAGTAAGGGGGAATAGGGAAGGTCTTGGCTCAGAGATGGCTGAGTGAACTGATTATCAGCACAAACTTGAGTCCCACTGTTCTAGGTTCAGTTTCCATCTGTCACTGAATACACTCAGGGATCTTGGGCAGGTTACTTGGCCTCTACAAACCCCACTTGCCCGACCATAGCACTAGAACAATTCCTGCCACATGTGGCTGCTGTGATGACTGGACAAGGTAATACATGAAAAACCCTTGGCAAAGAGCTTGGTTGCAGGTAGATGGGAGGGGGTGCCTAGCAGTTTTCAGGCCCACCAAACCCTTTACATTTCCTTTGCCTGATAACGCCAGGACACTGGAGCAACAGTATTCACATGAATAACGAAACGAGGGGACTGAGGGCTGGTAACTTCCTGAAGGTCCTCTAGCAGGTGGGTCATCCAGCAAGTATCTGAGGCGGGTTTAGAATGAGTTGTCCTGAAATTTAATACCTTTTCCACAAATCAGATAGTTTCCTTTGGGTTTTTAAATCCCTGTTCAATGTACCAGTGTACGATCCTATGGAGTCGAATATTCCTGAGAACCAGAATTACTCACCTCAATCTCCAACAGAGTAAGCCACGCAAATTTCCATGCAATAATATGCTTAATTGTAAAGGGCCGAAGCCTTAACTTTTCTTATGCTGACTCCAGGAAATGGTGGGCTCTTGCATGAAAAGATGACCCAGGCTCCAGGTTTATTAGGTTAATACCTAAGGACAGTTGAATGACATCCATCTTTCTCAACTAGTCTTTCATCCATTCCATTTCATCTTCTGGTCAATTTTTACAATACCGTCAACTAATCCATCCATTTATTTATCCATCCATCCATCTATCTTCCCATCCATTCCATCTTCCTTACCACTTATCCATCCATCCATCCATCGATCCATCCATCCATCCATCCATTGATCCATCCATCCATCCATCCATCCATCGATCCTTCTGTATCTGCTATTAGCCAGGTCCTGCATCAGGCATTGAGAATGCGAAAATAAGTGCAAATATCGGTTTAATAATTTTCAATTCACCTTTAAGGATCTAGCCCTGTTGGCAGAGCTGGGCTGGCATGAACAAAAGTTAAAAGCTCATCTTTCTGTCACTTCTGCTTTTACATACTCAGTGACATTCTCCAAGTGTTAGTGTGATTAAATAACTTGACAATTTCATAAGATAAACCTCTTTACCAGATTCTAGACTATTTCATTTAGATCATGGAATATTAGAACATAAAACTTTAGTTCAATCTCTTTTATAGGTAAGGAGAATAAGATCCAGAGAGAGAAAGTAACTTGCCTTGGGTCTTTCAGATTGCTGTGTGTAGAGACCACAAACTCACAGGGTCCAAACTGGCTGTTTTGGAGGGGTGGGTGCACCCAGTGAGCCTACTGTTGGGAATTCTCTTGAGAACACCTGAGAGCTCTCTGCCAGCCAGGGTCCAGGGCAGAAGCTCTGCTGAGTTACCTGTTGCATGAAAATTCCTAGGCTGTTTTCTGTTCCTTTGTGGAATTATCAGAACACAGAGAACCAAGATTAACATTATCCAGAACACCTGAAGCCCCACTGGCACAGGAATACATAGCATAGTGGTAAGGAGTGCAGGTGGAGTTACATGATCAGGACTTGAATATTGATGCTACCTAGTACCTTTTATAGTGGACAAGTCACGGCTTCTGTGAATGCCCATTCTTGCAACGGTAAAAAGGTAACAGCACCTATTAGTTGGAGCTGCTGTGAGGAGCCAGAGATAAGACGTGTAGGTTCCCAGAACAGTTCCCAGCTCAGGGTAAGCACTCTGCTTATAGTAATGTTATTTATTGTTGGTATCACTATGATTCAGTTCCCTACAAAATTAGATATGTGCGATGGGGACTTTACATCACCCTTTCAATAGAGCTATCAGAGAGTTTAAAGATAAACAAAGACTCATACCTTTTGCATGTTTAGACCTGGAACATAAAACTGCCTCTGATTTGGAGTTCACATCTACCTTACAATTTATCTACAGTAATGTCAACATGGAGCTGTAAGTAATCTCACATATGCTACATTAACAGTTTATTTAGAAATTGGGGTAGACATTGCTGCATGTTTTCCATCCTCTCAACTAATGCTGTGGTCACACTTCTGAGAAAAGCCTGGTGTGGTATCACTTAACTTTTTTTCTAACTTGTTCAGATTTTAAAGGTGCAATATTATTGATTAGCCACATGGGGGCAGGAAGCCCTAATTTTTCCTGAAGTTGACCAGGACGTCTATCCTACGCATTAGAAATTGTAATGCTTCTTAGCAAAACCAAACAATGTTCCTGACATATTTTATATGGGCAGTGTCAGAAATGAACAAAACACGTTTGTGTTTAAAAGTGGATCGTGCTCTGGCCGTAATGCCCAACCCTGGAGGCACATTACAATCACCTGGGGGGGCTTTTAAAATATGAATTCTGCTGCACACCACCCGTCTGGGGACGGCAAGGCAACAGACTCAGCATTTTAAAAAAGCTCCCCAGGTAATTACAAAGTTGAGAACTGCTGATCTGTGGATTCGTGGAGCTTGAGAGTTATATGAAACACCTGGCCATCTGACACTGAACTGTAAAAAGTGATGTTAGGGGTCACGGTCA